CTCCAGGAATCCAGTTTAAGACCTATGTTTTAAAATCTTGCAATGGAAAAACAACCAAAGACACTGAGGCAGACGCTCATTTTTCGCAATGTTTCGGGAAGTGCTGACGTTGTTTTTTTTTTAGAAGATGGTCAGTGCTTTTTGATTCAGTTCTGGATGTGAATGTTGATTGCGTTCAGTTTTTACTGTTATTCCACGAGAAGATCCAAACTAAAGGTGGATAAAAGACGGTACCGTCATGTAAAGTGAAAGATGACGGTGTAGTACAAACCTGTAAAACAGAAGTCTAAGTCCCTCAATGATGATTAAAGAACATAAATATATGTACAAAGATGTGTGGAGGAGTGGAGGTGTGTATGTGTGTGTGAGAGCGGATGAAGATGCGGTCACTGATACGGTTTACTGGCAAAATACAGTCATTTCATAAATAATATTATGACCTATTCCAGTACAGATCTGTTAACAATGTAAAATCAAGATGCATGATGGTTTTTAATTAGAGCCAAATTAAGTGAGGATTACTTAATAAATAGAACAGTTGGATCAGAAAACATCTTTTTCTAATTCTCAGTGATAATACCCTTGGTGTTCATTTTACAGATTTTATACATTTTGAAATTTGACTTTTTAAATAACTTAAATGTGTTTTTAAATAGATAAAAATGCAAAGTTCACTGCAAAAAAATTATCAATATGTTAAAAATAAAAATAAGTAAAATGGAGGGTTTTTATTCTGAACTGTCTGATATGTATATATATAAACAGTTCATCGCCAGAAAACAATGCATATCTGCTTCTCAAGTGTTTAGATCAGGGGTGTCCAAACTCTGTCCTGCAGAGTTTAGCTCTAACCATAATCAAACACACCTGAACCAGATAATCAAGCTCTTACGCCCTATTCACACGAGGCTTCAGCGTCAACGCTTGACAGAGGGCGTGTCTGAAGTTGGAGCTGAAACGATCGTCATAGAAGCGTCAGCCAATGAAATTCAGTCAGCAATAGGCCACTGTCTGAGCTGGTGTATTTGCATACAGCGATCTGATTGGCTGACGCTTCCGTCGGCGCTTGAAAAGTTGAGCTAGTCCCAACTTCTGCAGCGAGGAACGCTTCTGAAGCAGCGCCGACGGATCCACAATGCAGTTCGGCAACGCCTGTTGTCACCCATTCAAAGTGAATGGGAAGCGTTGACGCTAGATATACTAGAAACGTCCTGGCAGGTGTGTTGAAGCAAGTTGAAGCTAAACTCCACAGGACACCGGCCCTCCAGGACCGAGCTTAGACATCCCTGATTTAAATATTTAGATAGACTATATATATATATATATTAAACAAGAAAATGCAAGATAGAAATCCAAATGAAGTGAATTTGTGAAGATACTTTGATTAAAATATCTCCCAATGGGACACTGATTGTTTGTTCTTACTTTAAGCGCTTTTACATTGATGCTTTTTTTGCAGATAATAAATAACTTGTCATTTTCCTTATATGAAGGTTAATAAATGTATCTTACTTTCACACCTAGACTTTTGTTTCGGAACCTGGCACATTTCCCCAGTTAGCGCGGTTCGTTTGGCATTTGTGAATCCAGCAATTGCAAATCCACGGCAAAACAGTCGGTCCGAGATCGCCTGAATAGGGTGGTCTCGGCTCGATTGAAACAAACTCTTGGAGCGGATCAATTGTAGTGAGAAAGCAATACGATCTGAGCCAGGCTAAATCACAGAGTATTATAGGCATGTAATAGGCATAAATACGGCTATATGAAGAGAGAATGATGAGTAGGGTGTCATCATTCCTACCGGTAAACGTGCGTTTCATGTCAAATATAAAAGTGAACACATGTGAACTTTAAACCAGAGCTGTTTATCTGTTAGAAATATTGACTGAACAGCAGTCTTGGTTTATCTGTTATTTCTCTATATAATATAAAGCCTATATTGTATAAGCCAATAGCTCTGTATGAGAAAATGTCTTACCTCTGATTTATATCTGGTGATCATGTCTGTGGGTGTCACCACTCAAAATTAAAGCACCGGTTTTCACTTATGTCTTATTGCTCATAGTCATAAATAAAAATAAGGACGGATGACAGCTGAGCGGGACTCTGCAAATAAACCCTGAAACTCTGACCAATGTAAGGGGAGTTTACTCGCACGTGACTTGTTTTAGTGACTTGTTTTAGCTGTGTGAACATTTTAACAATTTAAATCCCTGTTTCGAAACAAAAGAATCGATCCACAGGTGTGAACGCACCCTCAATTCATCAAATCTTCACAATAATACTAAACAGGAGAATCATTTTTGCAGTGAACATCCTGAAAACATGCTCAAAAATACTTAAAATACTTTCTACTGGGCTTCGACAAAATTAGTTCATTTAAAACTGAAAACGAAATTATTTTTCAGAACCCATCAGCGTGAATTTGTTCTTGTTAAGAGTAACTTATATATAAAAATGTACTTGTTAAACAGAAATGTCTCTTGAATTAAGAGAGATTAAATATCTGTACTGGAAAAGGCGATAATGTTTTTGTAATCTGACCACGGAGAGGTTCTTGAATGATATGGACAGCCCAATCTCACAGGTAAACGTGACTATTTTACGTATCGTCAGAAAAGTAGCTAATCCATACAATTTCATTCAGTTTCATATGAAAATGTAAGATTTTATAAAAAGTAGGCGTGGCCATAAACTCCACCCCTAACCTCTCATTGGGGATGAGCAGATCATACTAAAACACACAAATACGATCATATAGATGAATATGAATTAGCCACTAAATAAAAAAGTTACGAATTGCCAGTGAGATTGCACTGATGTTAAGTGACCGCATCTTATATTTAAGTCATAAATATTACCACACTGTAATAATCAGTTAGTTACTTTACTTAAAATATAAGTGAGTAAACTCATGGCCTTAAGAGCAACAATCTCTGTTGGTTTCTAACTATTAAGTTAAAGACATGAACTGGGTTTGATCTGATATTGTACAGGCTTTCAAAGTTTTATTCTTTGTATTTTTTTCAAACTTGATTTTGTCTATGACCTTTTTCTTGTGGTTTTTAGTTTTTATGAAGCACATTGGTCGACTTTAGACTTTTTTTTAGTGACGGGTTGTCATTAACGATGTTTACATGGACATCAGTGATCTAATGATTTGCCTTAATCTGATTAAGACGATAATATGATTAAGGTGTTTACATGAGCTGCTATTTGATCCCGTTTTACATGTTATAGCACATCATTCGTTTAATGATTAACGAGTTTTGTGTAATTTTGGGTGTTTCATTTTTAATTTGTCGACTTTAACTGCAGTTCGGCGCTTTCACTTTCATTCAGGAACATTTCATTCATGCCCCCGTGACAAACTCTGTGGTGTTGGATGCGAGTATGAAGTAAGGACTGGTGGAAGAGTGTTGCTTTAATGGAATTTGATTCCTGCAAAAACAAAAACCTCCGCATTTCGTGATTCAGGTGTCTGTGGTCCTTTACTGACTTGGTAGGTGCAGAGTATAGTGTCAAATAGTCATGTGTGTATAGACTATTTGCAAAATGGGGTCAAAGGTCCTACACGAGGATAATAGTTTGACTGCAATGTTTAGATGTCTGTACTGCACTTCAATATTGGCACTAAATTCAGCATACTCAATTAATTAAATTCTGTTTAGTTCCATTATGACGTTAGTCGGATTAAGGGCATCAAAAATCTGTTTCTCTTAATCAGAGTATTGTCTTAATCAGATTATTGGTGTCCATGTAAACGTACTCATTGTCATTGTCAAAAAGTTGGTAAACCCATTGACTTAACTTTCATAATTACACACATAGTTTGTTCACTTATTAATTATAAGCCAGCAAGTTTACTCTCTTTTAAGTAAAATCAACTGATTGCTTATTACAGTGTCTTCTGAAATAGTTGGGGCGAGAGTTGAGGTGATTAAAATGCAGATTTCTACATCTGCACTGTAAAAAGGAATTAGTTACCTAATTAAAAAAGTGAGTAAACCCATTGCCTTAAAGCCAACAAGTTGATTTGACACATTTATTGATTTTACAACCCTTTGACTTAACTTTTAAAGTATGCACATAGTTTGTTTACCTAATTATAAGGCCAATGAGTTTACTCTCTTTAATTCTTAAGTTAAGTAATTGCTTTTTACAATGAATTATGGTATTATTTTAATAGCTTTCGGGATATTCCACATTTCCTCAAGCGCATCCGCACTCCTCCACGATCATATTCGGCACGTCGCGCTTCACAATGTTATATTCGTCATCGAAATACAGCATAGACATGGTGCTGAGTTTAGTAGGGATGCAGCAGGAGTTCATGGATCCCGGACTCATTCCTCGCATCCGGTACTGATTTACAACAGCAGTGTGAAAAGATGAAGCAGATCCGGGAACTCCAGCCATATACGCCGGACAATTCCCTTCGCAATAATTCCCGAAATACCCAGACGGCGCGATGATCCAGTCGTTCCAGCCAATGAGGCGAAAATCGATGTAAAACTGCTGTCGGCAGCACAGACTGTTGGATCCGTCGCACTCCAGACCTCGTTTGCGAATACGATGTTTGTTGTCCGCCACCCGCGCTTGAACCACAAGGAAAGGTCGATGGGATTCATCGGCGCTGTTCACTAATATTGGAACGACTCCCATTTTTTCGCAGCCTTCGCATCGAACGTCTAGATTTTGACGGCGGTCGCCTTGTGAGAAAACCATCTGTACGGCGTCCGTCAATGGGAACGTATGCCAGCCGCTGCGTTTAAGATCCACACGTTTCTCCACCAAATTCCACTTGCTGCCAACGCCAGGCTCCTGCGAGTACACTTTGACCGTGACTTTCCTCCGGGAGCCCTTCTCTAAAGCGCTGGGCAGGAGTTTGAAGTAGAGCCACAGGTTGGCTTGGGACACGTGCAGGTTTTGGTTTCCCTCATTGGAGATGATGAAGAATAAGCTGGTCTTGGAGGTCAGAGAATCGTCTGTGATTGAGAGAAAAGATCAATGATTAGAATTCAGAAAAAGCCCTTAACCCATTTAAAAACCTGTAATTAACCAGATTTATTATTAACCAGAAAATAATCAGGACACAACCTGAACATAACCAGAAAATAATGTGTACATTGTCAGAACATAACCTGAACATAATCAGAACATAACTAGAACATAATCTCAACATAACCACATATTAACCAGAAAATAATGTGTACATTATCAGAACATAACCTGAACATAATCAGAACATAACTAGAACATAACCAGAACATAATCTGAACATAACCACACATTAACCAGAAAATGGTCAGAACAAACCTGAACATCATCCAAACATAACATGAACATAATCAGAACATAACTAGAAAATAATCTCAACACAACCACATATTAACCAGAAAATAGTCAGAACATGACTCGAACATAACCAGAACATTACCTGAACATAACTAGAACATAATCTAAACATACACACAAATTAATCAAAGATAGTCAGAACATAACCAGAACACAACCTGAACATAACAAGAAAATAACCATAACATTATCAGAACATAATCTGAACTTAACCAGAACATAACCTGAACATAATCTCAACATAACCAGAACATAACCTGAACGTAATCTCAACCTAACCAGAACATAATCTGAACATAACTAGAACATAATCTGAACATAAACACAAATTAACCAAAAATAGTCAGAACATAACCTGAACATAACCACAACATAACCTGAACATAAATAGAACATACTCTGTACATAAACAAAAAATAACTAAAAATAGTCAGAACATAACCTGAACATAGTCAGAAAATAACCTGAACATTATCAGAACATAACTTGAGCATAATAAAACACAATCCAAACATAACCTGAGCATAATCAGAGCATAATCAGAGCATAACTACAACATAACCTGAACATAACCAGAAAATTGTCAGAACATAATGAGAACATAAGTATAACATAACCCGAACATAACCAGAGCATAACTAGAACATAATCTGAACATAACCACACATTAACCAGAAAATGGTCAGAACATAACCTGAACATCATCCAAACATAACATGAACATAATCAGAACATAACTAGAAAATAATCTCAACACAACCACATATTAACCAGAAAATAGTCAGAACATGACTCGAACATAACCAGAACATTACCTGAACATAACTAGAACATAATCTGAACATACACACAAATTAATCAAAGATAGTCAGAACATAACCAGAACACAACCTGAACATAACAAGAAAATAACCATAACATTATCAGAACATAATCTGAACTTAACCAGAACATAACCTGAACATAATCTCAACATAACCAGAACATAGCCTGAACGTAATCTCAACCTAACCAGAACATAATCTGAACATAACTAGAACATAATCTGAACATAAACACAAATTAACCAAAAACAATCAGAACATAACCTGAACATAAACACAAATTAACCAAAAATAGTCAGAATGTAACCTGAACATAACCAGAACATAACCTGAACATAACTAGAACATAATCTGAACATAAACACAAATTAACCAAAAAGAGTCAGAACGTAACGTAACCTGAACATAACCAGAACGTAACCTGAACATAACTAGAACATAATCTGAACATATACACAAAATAATCAAAAATAGTCAGAACATAACCTGAACATAAATAGAACATACTCTGTACATAAACAAAAAATAACTAAAAATAGTCAGAACATAAACTGAACATAGTCAGAAAATAACCTGAACATTATTAGAACATAACTTGAGCATAATAAAACACAATCCAAACATAACCTGAGCATAATCAGAGCATAACTACAACATAACCAGAACATAACCAGAAAATTGTCAGAACATAATGAGAACATAAGTATAACATTACCCGAACATAACCAGAGCATAACTAGAACATAATCTGAACATAAACACAAATTAACCAGAAAATAGTCAGAACATAATCAGAACATGACTAGAACATAACCAGAAAATAACCAGAACATTATTAGAACATAACCTGAAGATAATCAGAACTTGACCAGATCATGACCTGAACATAACCAGGCAGAACATAATCTGAAAATGAACACAAATTACCCAGAAAATAGTCTGAACATAACTACAACATAATCTAAGCATAAACACAAATTAACCAAAACATAATCAGAACATAACCAGAACATAACCTGAACATTATCAAAACATAACCTAAACATGTTAGAAAATAATACAAACATGACCTGCCCTGGAACAGATTAGCCATTCAGCATAAGATACAATGACAACAAAGAACAGCTAAAGCTGAACTGCCTTCCTGGAACCCAAAATCTTATCTCTAAACTAAAACTTAAGTCAGGGTCTGGTGGACGGCTGAACCTGCTGAACTCCTAGAGCCTATAGGAGAAAGACTGCACACATTAACATTCAGAGAGGGCCGTGGATCTCTAACGCCTCCTGAATGGACACACAATCTGGACCTCTTACACTTCAAGACTATAAACTCTGTTTGTCCTCATCAGATTCTTAGTGCGCTTCATTTGAGTATTATTAAAACATGTAAACATTCATTGAAATAGTCACACAATTATCATAAAAATGCCAATTATAAACATGTGTTTTCTCCTAGAACTGTAAATACTGTAGATCACTTTATGTTATTATAATTTCTTCATATTTTAGAGTAAAATATTATTTTAACTGTCATAAACAACTGATTTGTGGATAAAACAAATAATGCCATGAGAAATTTCTGGTTATAATGCTGTTATTATTATTATTTTCACATTACAGTATTAAGAATGGGAGAAATATGCTTTGTTATCATACAAAATTCACTACTAAAATAAACACTACAGCTCATTTAAATTTACATTTAGAAAAATCACTACTAATATATGCAGAATACTAATACAAAAATAATATTATAATAGTACTACATAAAAAATGACTAATGCTATTATATACTCACATTACAGCAATGGGAATTTTGAAAAAATAAAATTGTGTCATAAGAATAATGCAAAGGGCTGTATATATATATAGTTGAAGTCAGAATTATTAGCCCCGTTTTGATTTTTTTCTTCTTTTTTAAATATTTCCCAAATGAAGTTTGACAGAGCAAGGAAATTTTCACAGTATGTCAGATGATATTTTTTCTTCTAGGAAAAGTCTTATTTGTTTTATTTTGGCTAGAATAAAAGCAGTTTTGAATTTTTAAAAAAGTATTTTTGGGACAAAATTATTAGCCCCTTTAAGCTAGTTTTTTTTCCGAGAGTCTGCAGAACAAACCATCGTTATACAATAACTTGGCTAATTACCCTAACCTGCCTAGTTCACCTTATTAACCTAGTTAAGCCTTTAAATGTCACTTTAAGCTGTATAGAAGTGTCTTGAAAAATATCCAGTCTAATATTATTTACTGTCATTATGACAAAGATAAAATAAATCAGTTATTAGAAATTGTTTTTTGAAACTTTTATGCTTAGAAATGTACTGAAACAATCTGCCCTCCATTAAACAGAAATTGGGGAAAAAAATAAACAGCAGCGCTAATAATTCAGGGGGGCTAATAATTCTGACTTCAACTGTATATATATATATATATATATATATACACACACACACAGTTGAAGTCAGAATTATTAGCCCCCTTTTGAATTTTTATTTTTTTATTTTTCCCAAATGATGTTTAACAGATTAAGGAAATGTTCACAGTATGTCTGATAATATTTTTTCTTCTGGAGAAAGTCTTATTTGTTTTATTTTGGCTAGAATAAAAGCAGTTCTTAAAAAAATTTTAAGCCATTTTAGGGACAAAATTATTCAACCCGGGCTCATTGTGGAAACGTAGCCCCGTGGACGTTTCTGGAGACTGCCAAATATGTCTCGAGTGGTACGTATTCAAGCAGTTTTTGTTTTTGCAAATCTGCGAGAGGCCGCTGTGCGCGCTTTTTCGCATCTCAGATCTTGGGAGCGCGCGCCGTTCGCAACCACGCTGTTCTCACGTACAAAAGCCACCGGTGGCCACTGTAGAGCGGTTAGCCGTCTGACTGACTGGCTGGCCCTCCACCTTCCCTAAACCCAAGCGACGCGTTTGTTGACCGCATTTTTCGGATCTTGCCCTGTTGCGAACTAGTTCGCTTTAATTTTTTTGGATTCTGTTTTTCATCTTACCTGATTTCTGGAACCGCTCTTCCCCGGACTCGATCCCGGTCGTCGCCGTGGCCAGCTCCTCCTCCCTCCAGGCCTCCGCTCCACCGACGTAACGCTACGAGCTAAGCGGACAAACTGGTTGAGGTGGGAAAGTCCTCCACACGTAGGCGAGTTGTCAGCTGGCGAGCGCGAAGAGGAGGAGCGGAGCGGCGTCACACCACCCCGCAGCGTTCGCTCGATTAAAAAAAACAAAACGCTGCCATACGTACCTCCAGCCACATAAATCTCGGTCTCCAGAAACATCCACGGTGCTACGTTTCCAGAATGAGCTTGGGTTGAAATTATTAGCCCATTTAAGATATATATATATATATATATATTTTTTTTTGATATTCTACAGAACAAACCATCATTATACAATAACTTGCGTAATTACCCTAACCTGCCTAGTTACCCTAATTAACCTAGTTAAGCCTTTAAATGTCACTTTAAGCTGTATGGAAGTGTCTGAAAAATATCTAATCAAATATTATTTCCTGTCATCATGACAAAGATAAAATAAATCAGTTATTAGAGATGAGTTATTAAAACTATTATGATTTAAAACACTTTACAATAAGCCTTCATTGGTTATTGTTAGTTTACTAGCATGAACTAATAATCAACACAATATATACAGCATTCATGAATCACTGTTCAACATTTACTAAAGCATTGTTAAAATCTGAACGCATGCTTGTTGACATTAGTTAATGCACTCTGGGTTATCATTAACAATAGCAACTGTATTTTCATTACAACAAACATGAACAAATGTTTTGATAAATG